CCCGGACCCAAGCGAGCCCGGTCCCGCCGGCAGCTCCGTGCGAGCCCAGCCGGCCCCGTGTGAGCCCAGCCTCGTGCGAGCTCAGCGGACCCCCTGCGAGCTAAGTGGGTCTTTTGTGGGCGTGGTTCCATGTGAGCCCAGCCGGCCCCGTGCGAGCCGAGCGGGCACCGCGGGAGCCAAGCGGGCTTCGTGCAAGCCTGGCCCCGTGCAAGCTCATCTGCGTGTGAGCGCGGTCCCGTGCAAGCCCCGTCGTGTATGAGCCTGGGCAGGCTCGTGTGAGGCTTGCCCCGTGCGAGCCCAGTCGGCTTCATGTGAGCCCGGCCCCGTGTGAGCCCGGCCCCGTGTGAGCCCGGCCCCGTGTGAGCCTGGCTCTGTGCGAGCTCGACGGGCCCCGTGCGAGTTCAGTGGCACCCGCGCGAGCCCAAGCCTTATAACTTTGAACCCCCACAGTTGGACCTTGGGCCAATACCAGCGCGAAGCACAGTTTGCCCTTATTGCCCCAGTTTTGCCCGGCCAGAAGCTGCTCTTTTCATTTCTGGCCCCATCCCATTCCCGCGCCTCCCCCCATATTGGTGCCCGCTGTCCTTCGTCGTCAGGTAGCCAGTTTCTGCATGGCGAGGCTCTTGGGCAGCAGTCACCTAGCCCATTGGTACCTGGTAGCGTTCGCCGCCTTCTTCGACGGTGTTCGCTGGCCTTCCTTGGGGAGGGATGGTTGGTAGCTTTCCCCTCTGACGGGGTCGCGGTGGTCCTGTTGGGCGCGCTGCTGTCTGTTGTTTTCGCTCTACGTGCTTGCTCCCCTCCCGCGGCGTCGACGAGCTGGCTGTCGGTGGAGAGCACGCCCCCCTTCGTTCCAGGCGGAGGCCTTGTCGCCCGGTCGTCCGCGAGAGAAAAAGAGACTGGCTCCCTGGTAGTGTCTTTATTGCAGAGCAAGGCGCCTGCACTGTCTACCCTTGCGGAGGTGCACGCAGGCAGCCCCACCTGCTCGGGGTGAGAATGAGCGAAACCAACAGTAACAGAGTGAGTCGGGCTGTCAATGCATGACTATCGGACCTGGTCGGTCGATCCTTCGGCGAGTGGTTGGATGCAGAGCGATGAGCCGACCCATCGATCAGATCCAGAATGGGCGAAGAGTCTGACCGCGCGGAGCAGAGCAGAGCACGCAGCGAGCGCCGCCCGCGCGCTGGCTTAGTCTGTTCGCACGTTCATAGTGACACACACACACAGACGCGCGCGCCTTCGCCTTGTCTTTCTCTCTGTCTCTTTCTCGCGCGCTATCTATCTAAGCCACACCCACACCATAAGCAAAGACAGCCGCAAACGCCTGCGGGCGTAAATAGTTAAGCTGGTGCGCGTGTGTATTTAAGTGCGCAAGCGCAAGTGTGTGGGTATGCGTAGGCATCACAGTAGCAAGAACGCGCGGCGCCTGCGTAGGGTCTCGCTGTCCCTCTACCCTCTTGGCTTTTGACAGGCAGAGCACTCACGACGCACCTGCGGGCGCCGCTGCGTGCGTGGTGTTTGTCGTTCTGTTTCTGAGTCTTCGCGGATAAGGCTACTGCTTGGGGATACTGTTCGGGGATGGTATTCTCGGACAATATTCGTGGACAATATTCGTGGATATCATTCTTGGGCAATATTTGCAGGGAGGATCTGCCATGGTCGTCCTCGACAGTGTTCACGGGCAATATTCTCGGGCAGATAAACGACATCTGTGAGCGGTGTTGGTTCGTGGATAGTATTCCCGGCTAGTATTCATAGCTAGGCAATACCCGCGGACAGTGTTCGCGGGTGGTCGTGTCAGTGGGTGACATTCATGGATGGGCGGCATCCGTGGATAACATTCGGGGAAATTATTCGTGGATAATATTCGTGGATAATATTCGTGGATAATATTCGTGGATAAGATTCGCGGATAATGTTCGCGGATAATATTCGTGGATGATAAATATATATTCGCAGGTAGTATTCATGGATGGTCCTCGTGGATGATATTCGCGGAGGATATTGATTCGTGGATAATATTCGTGGATAATATTGGCCGCCACTGTTCGCGGAGAATTTTCGCCGCAGAAAAATACCAGCGCAAAAAAAAAGGAGCGGCAAAACCCTACCAGCGCAAACCCAGCGCAGAACCCAGCGCAGAACCCAGCGCAAAACCCAGCGCAAAACCCAGCGCAAAACCGGCCGCGCGTTCTATTCTCTTCTTAAAACCCAGCAAACCACCCAGCAAACAACCCAGCAAACAACCCAGCAAACAACCCAGCGCGCGGCGCGGTTTTCGCTGGTAATTTCCTCCAAGTTTTTTCTTTTTTACCGTATGTGTGTGCGGGTGTTTTTTTTTTTTGCTGGTATTGTTCTGCCGTGGGCTCTTTTTCTCGCTTGTTGTCTTTGGTTTTTGGCTGTGTCTGTCGGTGATCCCCTCCCTGCCAATATAGTCAGGCAATATTCTGGGCGGGTAGTCCGGGTTAGTGTTCTGGGTGAGTGTTCTTGGCTGTTTAATTATATCCCCCAACAAACCCAACGCCAAACCCAGCGC